GGTTTATAACAAACAACATAAAATAGTAACCCACTTAAAAAAATATGATTATAACATTCTATTTTAATTATTACAACATAGTTCTAAGTTATCTTTTATTAATGTATTATAATTTGAAAAACTTACTCAATACAACAATAACTTTTTGATTTGATTTAAGATGATGTAACACAAGTTACTAGGTTTTAATGGTATATCATTGTCTATGTCAAACGTCAGATGTAACATATTGTTATATGACACTTTTTTATTAAGCTACAAATTTGGGCCCGTGTGGTGTCTCGAAACTAGCACTTTTCGTCCCCGCAGTTTCGAAACTATAGTTTGGCCACTGTGCTTTTAAAAAAAGATCGGATTTGGTCCCTTCCATAAACGGTCATTAATTTCTTTTTTGTTAGATGAGGGGTTTTTTAGTCTTTATGTACTTTTGAGTAAATAAAAGTGTAGATTACAGGGACCAAAAATGTAACTTCCTCAAATATATATGCAAATATCTAACCCCTTCCGCGGGATAAGTATAAGGTTTCTAAGTACATCTCAAATGTTTGCAGCGGAAAACATAAATCCACAGTTGCGAATTATTACAAACTAAGGACAGAAGAAACTAAGTCGGCTTGCCGTCCATCGGGATTCGGGAGGATCACATATTCCCTTCCTCTTTGAGCTATTCTCTACTTGATACTTCCCTGCAGATACTTTCTAATTTATAAAAACGAGAGTTAGATCATAAGGTCTTGTAAATTCCCTTCAACACCATTTCAACATTTAAGAGCAGTTGAAATATTGAGTAAGCCAACAATGGAAACAATCATACTCAATTAAAGTTAGAGCACATTCCCATCACACGAACATTGCACAACTTTTATAGCCATAACATTACAAACCCCTTGACAATTACAATGTAGGCCTCTAGTAGATGTTTATCCAATGTGCTCGAGAAACAAATTTAAGGCATACTGACTATCACTCCCAAGAGATATCACTATCTCAATGTACCATATGCCTACTGTGCAACTCCATAGACCCCACATAGCCACATATAGCTCAATTACATCAAATGTACAATATGATAAATTATGCATAGCAAAATCATTAGTGCACAAAACCATAAGCAATGCTCAAAAGCATTTAAAAATGATCACGAGTTATAAAATTCAGTGTAAGAGAACTCTCCTGGCATTTCGTATTCCACCTCAAGCTTAACAGTTAGAAAGCTCAAACCGAACACCTAAATTAGCCAAGATAAGGAAGGTGTTAACTCAACTTAATCCTCCCAAAAGTCTTTTTCTATAACCATCTAAAGTATCCCTAGAACGATGGCTCAAACCAAAACTCGAAATAAGAAACGAAACGGACAAAGTTGAGCCACAACAGTGGTTTATATGACTTGCACCATGACTTAGGTCGTGCGCCAAGTCGCACAACCTATTGTTTGCTCTGCTTCGTCCGCACGGTCCATTTTCCAGCTCCAAAAACTCATATTCACCACTTGAACCATGATTTCCAAATGAAGATAACATCTAGAATCCAAAGGAAACTTCCCAAAACGTTTCTCAAGCCAAAATTAGTCAAGAACTACTAATTAAACAACTAAATCTCCAATCCAACTATGAACTCATCATCCATGGAACCTCCACCATTAAATTCAGATCATTAAGAAAGCTAACGTATGTTAGTGTAAGTTTGGGAATGACATCAGCTGAAATTGACAAACACTATGAACCAAAAGTGAACTCTACTCTTATGTTTTATTTATGTATATTTAAGTTTGTCAATCAAAATGATAGCAAACTTATTTACATTTTCGTTTTTATTCGTTTTCATTTTTAATTAAAAAAAATATCTAAATATAATTTACAATTTAAACATATAAAATAATTAAACTATAAACTTAATATAAAATATTACTTAAGAAACGGAGTGAACTACAAATTTAGGTCCTTGTGATTTGTTGAAAATAATATTCTATTTAAAATTCTAGAATTTAATTGAAATCCTACAAACATAGAAATTTGAAATCCTTCAAGGGTGCTCGGGATTTTTGTATGATTATGTGTAATAAGGTTTATGAAAATGTTTAAAACATTTAATTTGTAATAATCGATTAATAAAAATATAATTTAATTATCTTTATAATTTTTTATATTTTTATATAAAGTACTTATTAATAATGAAATTCAATTCCATTCCATTCCAAATCATATAAACCAAACATACCACTAATTTCAAATCCATTCCGATTATAAAACTATAATAAAACATAAATTTTAAGTGTATTTGATTGACCAAATTAGATATTTTTAATCGTATTACAATAACATTAAAGTATTTTAAATTTTTTATCAAAAAGAACATGTTTTTTAATATAAGACCGGTTACCGTAACCAGATACAACTTACAAGTACCCTTAATCAGGCCTTAATATTTTCGACAGGACTGGAACTGGTGGTCCGAATTGTTACTGTTTCAGCCTAGGGCCGATTTGGGCCCGACATGGCCTGGCCCGGTACCGGCCTTGGCGAGTATTGTTATGTAAAGGGATATATTTTGAAGTCCCCAAAGGATGGACATTTATAGCCAAAAAAAATCATATTCGAATTATAAGTGGACATCAGCATGGAACATTAAGTCATTCGAGTGTATGTCCATATTGATGTAGATTAAATTTCGAATTTCTTTCTAATTTACTTTTTATAAATTAGATGTGTTTTCCACAGTTCAAGGTTTACGATCGTTTCTTTCATAATCGCTATTAAACCTCTTTATCTCTTTATAACCTAAACACACAATTTTACACAAAAATTCAATCCAACCGAGCAAACTGCATGCATTGTTGCTTCCTCTGTTTTTCCTAAATTTTTAAATTAGGTCCCCTATAGTTTTTTATTCCATATTTGCCCTATGAATTGTGTTTCGTTTGATTTTGGTCCCTCTCGTTAACTAAGGTTAATTTTATTGGTTAAGTGAGGAATGTTTTGTTCTTTTTTCATTTACTTTAATTTTCTGTTATGAAAAATTGCAATTGCATACCATTCGACAAACTTACAATAAACAAATAGTAGAAACCAAGTTTAGGAAAAAGAATAAAGTCAAGGTTCAAAAGCACGTGAAACGTCACATGCCATGATGAGGACGCGACGTTTCAAGGTTTGACATAAGAAGACAAATTTGTATGTCATATATAAAATTATATATATACAAATATATGTTTTTTTTATATTATCTAATTAGATAATGATATTAAAAAATGTACATTTATATTTGAAGAAGAAAAAGTATATAAATTATTATTATAAAAATAAAATTTTGATTAAATATTTAAAATAGAACTTAAACTTCATTTTAATCATGAGTTCGTAACATTTATGAATTTGTGAAACTGTGAGTGATGTTATTAGATAAATTTAAAAAAACGTAAAATCTAAAGTTAAAATCGTAAAAAGACAAACAATAAAAAGTAAAAAAAAAATTGAAAAAAAAATCACATCTTACAAAAAACGCACGCATGGTCACGCCTTACAAAAACGTTTTATCACATTATGACGCGCCTTTTTGAACACCATGTAAAACATAGGTACCAAAAAATGCAGTTAACATCAATATTAAAACTTAAATTTATTTTTTGTTTTTTTTTAATGTTAATGTTTTTCACATATTTTTTGACAAATAAACTTTTATTTTTTAATGTTGATTTTATTTTACCTAAAATTTGTTATTATTAGATTTTATTTTATACAATATTTATTATTGTTGATTTTATTAAATATTAAAAAAATTATTGTAAAATAACTAATCAAATTTAGTTAGTTGCATTTGTACCTAGGAGTGTTCATGGGTTGAGTTGATCGGGTTAAAGATATTTGAACAACTCAACTCAATGCTTGTAGTTTGAAAAATCTTAACCTAATCCAACCCAACCCAAACTGTACGAGTTGGTTTGGTTGATAGTTTGATACATTGAACTATTATTTTAACCTTAAATATGTTATTTCTCTACTCATAATTTCTTTTTCATTATCAACCATTTGATACAACTTATCCATACTTCTTACGTAATTCACATTCAGTTAATTTTCTCAATTTACATACATATGTTCACAGTTATTGAACATATATACGGATTAGTTATATAGAGATGCGAATAGATTGAAGATATATGTATATGAAAAACATACATGATAGTGTAATTATCTAATGTATATATTAGTAAAAAATAAAAAATCATATTAAATTCAAGAAATAAAAGGATATCAGGTTGATCGGGTTGGTTAGGTTCAAATAATAGTAATCAAATACAACCGTTTTGAAATTTTACAACTTGATTAGACATCGTATTGATTCGGATTAAGTTATTTTACATTGTGTTAGATTGCGTTGATAGAGTTTTTAATGACCCTGCTTGTACCTATACTATGTTGCCTTTTTGTTTGTACCATAATGTTTTTGGATCTTATCAATTTGTTTGTATTTGTTTTTCTGGTTGACAATGACGTGGCCTCAACGTGCACCTTATATTTTTTAAATTCATATTACCATATCATTGGAAGACAAGTGATTGATTACCTCTTCAACAAGTAATAATTCATGCTTTTCGATACATGTAAAGTTTGGTTTATATTCTAAATTTATTATTTAAAATCTTAGTTTTATTTTCGTAATTTTCTTTTTTATGAAATAAACTATGGTCTGGTTCATTATTATGTTTATGAAATTCGCAGATAAAATTAATATGACACAAAAGATCAAAAAGAAGGAGATCGATAACAAATCAATCAATATGTAAAACTTAGAAAAATGAAAATTAATGGCGAGAAAATGCAAAAAATAAGATAACACAAAGCAAGTACTAATCATTATTCAAATGGGATGCAGTGCATGGCCAACCATGATTACGTTCAACAAAACACCAAATTACGCAAATTTTGCGATTACTACATTAATTAATTAGGTTTAATTAAGCATTACAAACCAACTCGATCTTGATCTCCGAAATGGTCAGATCTTCGCACCCTACCTTGGGTACCAGTTTCACCAATACAAACTCGTCGCCTTCAGCCTCCGTGTCCTCCAACAGCTCCGTTATCCCGAACTTCGCTGC